GGAAGATTCTTTTGTAATAAACCTTTGGATGTTCAGTCTTACCCTGCGTGACCTTGTCTGCAGCTGGAAAACCAGCAGGCCCCGTGCAGGGGTCGTATTCTCTGATCAAAGCTTCACACAGAAGGTTGTAATCCCTCCTCGTTGCATCAGGTAGACGCTCGATGAAGGTGAACACCTCTCTGTCCGAAGTGAGCCGTATCAGACTTATCTTATCGTCTACCGTAGCATTAGGATAAGACCTCAATCTGAACTCCAGATCTTTGAGATACGCTTTCGTTCCTGCGGACCCCATAGGCCCGGGAACAAAGCGTTGTACATATTTTGAGGTTTTCTGCAAATCATCCATTGAAGGAGACTGTATCACCGGTCGAACTTGTGTGACTGGTGGTGCAGACTGATCAAGTCCTGCCCCTACTGCCCATGGTGGGGGTGGGGGTGGCTGATAAGGGTTGGTAGGAGGAGGTGCATATTGGTGCAGGTCTGTCCCCACCCTCCGAGATGGGGGTGGAGTTGACTGCCTGGCGTCAGGAGGAGGAGGTGCATACCGGTGCAGGTCGAACCCCACCTGAGATGGGGGTGGAGTTGACTGCCTGGCGTCAGGAGGAGGAGGTGCATATGGGTGCAGACCCGTCCTTATCCCCCGGGTTGGGGGTGTTGAAACGGGGCTAAGGGGAGGAGGTGCAACAGCATCTGTCTGGGGCGGTTGTAGCTGAACCTGTTCGATTCTCGGATCAGCTTGCTCCATTACAGAAATCCATTCTGTAGCTGTAGCTAACTTCTCCTCACAAGCTGTCAGGCGCTTATTTGTTGACCGATTTTCCTCTTGTAAAGTCAGCCAACTCCGGGTTATTAACCCCTTTTCTGCCTTGCAATCTGCCAGCTCCCTTAAAGCGGTTTGCAACCGTGCTTGTAACTCATCGTTATCTGCACACGCGTCTTGGTACGCTCGTTCCTTATCCGCAATCTTCTCCCCATATGATCGAGCCTGTTCTGACAGCTCTCTCTTTGAGAGGTCCTTATCAGTTTGAATCTTTTGTTTCAGCAACTCAGATTCACTTATCAGCTCGGCACACTTCTCCTCATATGATTGAGCCTGTTCTGACAGCTCTTTCTTTGAGAGGTCTTCAGCAGCCTCAAGGAGTTGCTGCAGCGCCTCAGATTCACTTATCAATTCGTCACACCTCTCTTTTTCAGACTTATATCCGTTGAATAGCACGCCCTTTTCTACTACCAAACGGTCTAATTCCGCCTTCAGAAGCAGAGAGATTTTTGCTAACCGTATGCGGCTTGATTTTGCGTCCTCCTTCACTGTAGCTGCTCTTGATAAACTCTGCAGCTCCTCATGTCTTTGATCGTCATCAAGGACTTGCAAGTCCTCCAAAGTTTTGCCAAGAATTGAATTTGTCAAAATGTGTAAGGCTGTCTGGACCACATCCTCGGATTGTAAGGGGTCAGTGTTTCCCTCTCCGTCCGCCATTATCTGCTATTTAGAAATTAAATAGTAGATGTAAATGTTTAGGTGGTAAAATAAAATCAGAAAATCTCCTTTTCCTGATAAGCTTTACTCTTATTTAGTGATTTATCATTTAAACGTGCGTTATCTTCTAGCAAAATGAGTAAACTATTCAACTCTGTGAATATTTGTAACTGTATCTTATTTAAAAGTTTCTAAATTTTTATTATGTACCCGTTTCTCAAGGATTTACCAGTGAATAAAAATTTGTTTGGCAAAAGCTCTCAGCATAAATACCTTCATAACTTTTAAAACGCAAGATAACAGTGTTTATTCAGCTTTGAGGAAGTTTTTTAACCCAAAAATTGCCTTTCAGGAAAATAAAAACGTTTAATGTCACTCTTCACCTAAAAACGAAGTGAAAACCTGTGACCCCACGTCTTCTCCACAAGATGTCAGCAGATCCTCAACAATTTTAACTCAGACACTGTTTGTGTCGTCCACTAGGGGTGCTATAACTTCCTGTGGCGTCCGGTCGTTAGCTTGTTAGCTAAAATTAGCATCGGCTTGCTTCGGTGAAAACCAACACTTCTGAACGGATTTTTTACACAAACGTGGCAAACTTTCAGCGAATATGCTTCGAATGAATGTAAACAGCGTTTCAGAACACAGCTTCAATGCGCTTTCCAGCGTTAAAAAGCAGATTTTATTCCCTATGAAAACGAATTTCATTTCCGGGTGACGTGATTGACGCGTCCCTCATCCAATCAGAACGTTACACACGGTCTTTCTCAACCAATGACGCAGCGTAGGGGTGAGGGGAGGTGACGTCAGTCAACCTTTCTCAGCAAATCAGAGCTTTCCACAACAGCGAATTCAACCAATCAGGAAGCGTATTCTCCAGCTAGCAAGTTAGATTAGCGTAAAATAGTTCGTCACTTTTTCGTCTTTTAAACCATCAAAATGCACTTTTTCTGTTAAAAATTGTAACGAAACAACCCCCTGAGCTGCACAGAGAACGGCGCTCCGTGACAAAACGTCTTTCTAGCTATTTAAAACAACTCGTTCGAAGCTCCAGAACCGAGTCGGAACCACAGAACCGAAGCGGACCAGAAGCGTCCGGAACACAGTTTAAACAGAATGAAGCGTTTCCACAGCTCAAAGCCAGCTTAAGTTACACATACAGACGTACAATTCAGCTTTATAAAGACTTGTGACCCAATTTCAGCTTCTCTGTGAGCTTTCTGAGCATCACAGACCAACACGCTTAAAAACATGCAGCATTTCGCTTCAGGCGGTGCAGCTCCAAGCGCGCAGCTCCGGCTGCGTAAAGACGCACGGTTCAACTGTTATTTTATAACACATGCCAACATGAAAATCAATTAGCACACTAGTTACAGTCCATTTATGAGCACGTGACGGGCCACCAATTGTAGATGAACAGATGCTGGGATATATTCATCATTTAACGCGAGTTCCTCATTTTTCTGGACTGAATAAAACGTGCATTGAATTTAAGGAAATGCAAACGTGAGACGTCATTTAAATTTGACCCATCAAAATGAATGCGGTCATTTATTTACAGAATCAAATTTAACATCAAACATGTACATTAATTTGGCAAATTATGAAAATAACAACAAAGCAATCAATCAGAAAAATCATACGGCCATGATTTTTCCGTTGCTGCACCACAGACATGTATAAAACTGTACAACTATGACTTTTACCCACACGGATGTGAATAAGCACTTTACACAGACATTTCTAAATATCTGGGAGAATTTCTACTTGATAGAAAAGTTTAAAGATGGAAAGAAGTTTAGAGGGAGTAAAGGATGGTGTGTGAGGGAAATTAAGTGTTTTCCAGAACCGACACTCTCCATCAGAAGCCCAGCTCGCCTCGGTACGCTTGGTAGGAAACTTGACCCATTACCTCTCTGATGATAATCAGCAGATATGGTGTTCCGTTAACGCTACCGGTCCAGCGTCTCCTTAGAATGGCTGTTGCCCGTCAGAAGTAGTGGCGAGGCTCTGTTTGACACATATTCACCTCAGTGGAAAATGTTATAATCCCATGGAACTCGGAAGAGCTTCGTTGTCATGTCAGGAACTCCAACAGCACTCCATCAGAACTCCAGAACTCTAGAAGTCTGACAACTCTCCAACTCTGAGTACCTGTGTGTCTCTCCGTGTCCCTGTGAGTCTGTGTAGACCAGGAAGTACTGACATTTTAAAGACTCTTTCCCGGTTCACTTTTTGGGATTTTTCATTGGTCAGAAACGACCAGAAGGGGTGTGTTTTTGTGACGTAAGAGGTTAGAGACAGCGAGAATTGTTATGAGACAGCTCAGAAATGTTCTCACAGACCGAGAGGGTTCTGTTTTGGCGTGCCTTAAGAAACAGGTGCAAAACATCTCTATTTACGTCTGAGAGGATTCTAAAACATGACAGTTTTAACATAACAACTTGTTTTTCGTTTGACTGTAACCTTGTAAACGCACACACTTGCTCATTCAAAAGCAGAAATCAGAAAAATGCATAATTACTCTGCACAGCTTTTAACATGAGAATAAAATCATTACTCAGTTAATAAAATTGATTAGTTCACTGCAACATCTAAAATGGTTTGAACTAAGACACTTTGATTATCAACATTTGTAAGATAGTAATGATAATAAAAAGAGAGTGTTCTTTTCACTTGAATCTTCAAGAAAGAAAGTCTCAGGATGGGTGAACCTGTATTTATGTATTCAAATACATGAAATGACAGCTTCTATCCCACAAGGTTCTAAAGGTCAAGAGTTTTGACCTTAGACTGGGTTTCGACGTAGGCTTAGTCCACTACAATACTATTTCTATCCTAACATGTGATTCTTGACCTGCCATTGTGTATCTGTTCCTCTCAAACCCAGCTGTTGAAGCAGATGGTCCTCTTGTCCTGATCCTGGTTCTGCTAAAGGTTTCTTCCTCGTGACTTTTTCTTTCCACTGTCGCCTTCATGCTTGTTCAAGATGAGAGTTAAACTCAAAGCTGCTCCTCAGATAAATAATGTTCAGTTATTATTTTATATTTGAATGTTTCTGTTAAATTATTATTTTATAAATGAATGTTTCTGTTAAATTATTATTTTATATTTGAATGTTTCTGTTAAATTATTATTTTATAAATGAATGTTTCTGTTCAGTCCCTGAGACGACTTCTGTTGTGACTTGGAGCTGAAGAAATAAACTGAATTGATGGCAGAGAAACCTCCTCTGATACTTTTGACTATAAAACAACTTTTGATGTTCTGCGTTGGCAAACCTAAAAGAATCCTACGATAAAAATCATTTTAAACAGCACAATGATACAATGAACTAAATCTACAGAAAACATCAGGTTTCAAAGTTTGAACAGAGAAAATGAATTGATTAAATTTCATGTGTCCATCTTGAACCTGAGATAACTGAAGGGTTGATGACAGGAACATGAATACTGACAGAAAAAACCCGTTAATAAGCAGCAGCACAACATGTGTGCAGCCGTGTTTGATTAAATGAATAAACTCATTTAACATCTACCAGACAGCACCAGCAGACACAGTGAAAGGTTTTCGTTTTGCCGACCTGGATCTCCTCCCGTTCCTTCTTGTCAGGCATGGCTCTGGCAGCTGAGGCGTGTTTCTCAAACAGTTTGCGCTCCTTCTGCAACTTCCTGTTTTCCTCCTTCTTGTACTCCTCGAACTTGATCAACTCCTCCGCTGCCTTCTGCTCAAACTCCAAACGCTCTTTCCTGCAACGTACAAATTATATCAGAAAAATACATTTCTTCAAATAAATATGGACAAAAAATAAAACTGGACTGACAATTCCAGAAAGAACCTGGCTAAATGTATTCTTGCCTTTTACAAAATGAAGCTCTGAACCAATTTTTAAATCTAATTTTACTTCCTAGGATGTTAAAAACACTGACTCAGACACTGCAGAACCTCCGTGGGTGAGCTTGTGACTGAACGAGCTTGAACGTTCAGTTCCAATTTCCTCACCTGAGATCTTCCAGTTTTTTCTCCTTCTCTTGTCGGAGTCTGACGAGTGCAGCGTTCTCTTTCTTAAAGCTCTCGATCTCGATCTCCAGCTCAACCAGTCTCTCTCTGAGCTGCATGGACTGGACCTGCTGGGCTGCGGATGAGAATACTCACATAAACAGCTACATATTGTTCACTGCTCAGTTTGAAACCAAGATGTCCAGAACGATCACAGTAAGGTCATTCTGCAGCATCAGGGCTGAAACAATATTTGAAAAATTAGTTTGTCTGACCTGTGTCACCTTTTGGCTTCAACTCAGAGACAGCAGGAGGGGGAACAGGTGCATTCTGGGCTTTTGGCTTTAGTGAGGGGAACAACCTGGTCATGAGTTGGGAGGCAGGTGGAGGATCAGGTTCTGGGACTTGATCAGGCTCCACAGCTTTGCCTGTTGCTATTTTTCTTAACAGAGTCATCTCGGGCCGTGCAGCTTCACAGAGTGTCAGCTTGGAAACTGGTCTGAACTCTCTACGCTCGCTGGTTTTACCCACAGCAGTGTCGTCCAGGTCATTCCATGTGTTGTCATCGTCAAACACAACCCTACCCTGCTGGCCGTCTCTGTCCTCTATGAGCGTGGAGTCTTCAGCATCGTCGAGGACACCTCCACGCTCTGCGTCTTCCTCGTGTGCAACATCCGACTCTGAATCCCCAAAGCTATCCTCATCCTGATAGGACCTCTTGTCATATGGAGGGTCAGACACTGTTGGAAAGCCAGAAGCTCCTTTAGACACAACTTCATCTCCAAATTCAGAGCCACAGCTGGAGATGTCAGAGATCTTGTGTTTGTCTTCTTCCTCACTGCCCTGACCTTCATCATCGTCAGCGCTCACTTTGCCTTCGAGTGTATTCATTCTCATCTCCCCCCCAGAAACACTTGGACACACTAAAACATCTCTGTGCTGAACACCACTGTACTTGTGAGCTTCACCCGCTGAAGGCGATTTAATGGGGGTGGAGGAGAGGCGTCTCTTGTGGAGCCCGGCAGCAGCCTGACGCTTCTGCTGGTCCATGTGAAGAACCTGCGAATGAGGAAAATAAACATTCAAAATTAGATAACTTCACCAAAGATCCAAAAATTCTACCTTCTGTGGCAAACTCATTATTCAGTTTTAACAATTCATTTAAGGACATGAGGTCAGTTTGTCGTCTAGTAGTCTAAGTCTATAGCAGCATGACAAGCCGACCCTAACTATAGGATTTAGCAAAAAGGAAAGTCTTAATCCCAGTATTAAAACTGGACAATGTGTCAGCCTCATGGACAGAAACTGGAAGTTGGTTCCACAAGAGAGGAGCATGAGAACTGAAGGATCTTCCTCCCATTCTGTTTTTGTAAATTCTAGGAACCACAAATAAACCCTTAAGTCTGAGAGTGAAGTGCTCTGTTAGTAAAATATGGAACAATAAGATCTGTAATATAAGATGGAGCTAGGTTGTTGAGGGCTTTGTAGGTTAGAAGTAAGATTTTGAATTCTATTCTGGATTTGACAGGGAGCCAATGGAGAGAAACTAAAACTGGAGAGAGATGATCTCTCCCAGTAACTCCAGTTAAGACTCTGGCAGCAGCATTTTGGATCAACTGAAGACGTTTTAAAGAAGTATTTGGACACCCAGATAATAAACCATTGCAATAGTCCAGTCTAGACGGGACAAATGCATGGACCAGTTTTTCTGCATCATCTTTAGATCAGATGTTTCTAATGTTAGTGATATTACGCAGGTGGAAGAAGGAGGTTCTAGTAAAGTTTTTAATGTGGGGGATAAAAGACGTGTCCTGATCAAAAATAACACCAAGATTTTTAACATTAGAGCTGGAGGACAGATTAATGCATCTAAGGAGGGAGAAAGACTGAAACATTCATTCCTAAGGTGCTCAGGTCCAAAAACCAAAACCTCAGTCTTGTCTGTTCAACAGGAGAAAATTAAGGGTCATCCAGGTTTTTATGTCTTTAAGACATGCTTGTAGTCTAAGTAGCTGGTTGGATTCACTGGGTTTAATGGACAAATATAACTGTGTGTCATCAGCATAACAATGGAAATGTATCCCATGCTGCTTTGAGTATGTAACAACATAAATCATCTCTCTGAAGCCTCCTTCAAGGAGAAAGGAGGCTCTGAAATCTTGAAGACCAGTCACTGCAGGAAGAGCATGTGATAAAAGATAAAACTGTCCTTTTAAAAACTGAGCAACAACTTTCTGAGGGGCTGAGAGTGTAGCTAACTGTGCTACAGACCGATGTAAACTCCTGAAACACTAAACAATCATTAATCAAATGATCAACTCTGACATGTGGAACTGAATTAAAATTAATTTTACTTTTATATCTACTTTTAAAATAAAAGACTACCAGTATTTTATAGACAGTAGTCCCTCGCTACTTTGCGGTTTGCTTTATGGTGGCTTTTCAAAATAAGATTGGACATGACACACAATTGGCTGATTGATGGATGAGCTGAACGATCAGCATGGAAATTTTGTATAAAAGGAATTATTTTAAATTATTTGGCACCTGCTGTACATTTGTGCAACTCAGAGCTGCAGAAAAAGCTTCCTGCTGTAGCTTTGTGCAGCCCTTACTGCTGCAGGATAAACTTCCTGCTGCAGCTGATCAGCTGTTCAGTGTGCAGAGCGGAGAAGTGGGTGTGGCCAAGAATGCTTGCAGGTGGCTGAGAGCAGAGGAGTCAGGGAGCTGAAATCATGACATTCTGTCTCTTTTACAGCGTTCAGAGTTTAGAAACATTGTTTAGAATATTGCAAGTGTGGGAAGGGTTTAAAACACCT